TATTGAGGTTTTAAGAGGTAATCATGGACTTCTCCGATTTCTTATTGAGGTTTTAAGAGGTAATCATGGACTTCCCCTATTTCTTATTGAGGTTTTAAGAGGTAATCATGGACTTCTATTTCTTATTGTGGTTTTAAGAGGTAATCATGGACTTCTCCTATTTCTTATTAAGGTTTTAAGAGGTAATCATGGACTTCTCTTATTTCATACTTGATTATTAAGATATAATCGTTAGGCTTTGAGGTAACATTTCTGGTTCCATTCAATGGTGAGTAAAACCTGGAGAAAAAATCTACATTGTAACCTAAAACGACTTTAAAAAGCAAATAAAGAGGCTTAACATTAATCAAGATTATTCTACTATTTAACACTTTCGACAACTGGCTAATATTTATCAGATACTTTTACAAACGCTTCAAATACAAAATTCTGCAAACGTTGAAGCTGATCTGACAATGATATATATTTAGTGACTTAAAATGTGAAGCCTCAATATTTTGTTTCTTCAATAAAGAAAGTAATTTACTGATGTTAACAATTCGTATTTGTTTATAAATAACATTACAAATTTCACCTTTTGGTGATTAGTTTTCTTGTAAACAAGATGCATATAAAAATATATTTGGAATCTAGAGATAGGGAACCTATATACAGTTCTGAATGTATAGAATGTTTGGATGATAACATCTGCAAAGCGTTTGATAACACAATGAAGTCGTTCGTCACTCTATTCTTGAATTTTTTCCGGGGGTTTCTGTCGTTGTCTATAAGCCTTATTGGAGTTAATAATATCAACGTTTTACTTACTAAAATGTGTTCAACAGTTGCCTGTAAGAATCTCGTTTTGATATACAGCTGTTCGTTTCTGGTTTTCTGCTCTGAAGTAATATATGTTCTACAATTAATGTCTATTACACTATTCTACAACTCTATTGTTTTCCTAGTTACGTTTTCATTCCGCCAATCATACTTACAAATATAGACATAAAACGAACTGTTCCGCCTCTGCAGAGCTCATACTTGAACACAATACACACCTGGTAGCAGTTGCTTTTGTTAACTTTTGACCTATACGCACGTTTGGGAAGTACACGTGTTAAACCTAGTGACAAATGAATCTGTGCGATTTAGTTTCGGATACGGTAACTAAAACACGCAATTCTTCGCTATATTTATCAACTATTAATTTCAAGGTGGTCTTACTTTAAATAGTTAACTTTGGTTTCTATCTTTGTTAAGCGCCATCACTCGAAAAATAAAAGTAGTATTTCAATATTTAACCATATTCAAAGATGAAGAAGAACAGATCATATAACTAAATACCGATTTCAAATCATCACCTTTAGCAAATTATATTTCTGACTTAATATATGAACTCAATCCTAAGACTACGCACTTTTATTATGTTTTTGTTTTACTTACTAAGTTAAAACCCTGCAAATCTTGAATCCTTCAGCAAAACACTGATAGGTATATTGAATGAAATAATTACTGCAGGGGTTCTCCGAAATGGGGACCGCGGACCCCACAGAAAGCCATAGGAAAATTTCAAGGGGGTCTTATCAAATATACAAAATGAACAATACTGTTAAAGTATTCATAGTATTTATAGATTCATTCGATGCAAGGTTTCGATCACAATGCGGGATATTTTTGGATAGATGGGGGGGTTCTTGTGCTCAGAAAGTTTGGGAACCTCTGACATAATGTGTCTTGCGCCGGACGAAAACTTTTCGTTAATTAATTGACAAATATTTTGTGTTTTCAGAAAAACTGGTGGTGAGAACCACCAGTCCAGGTCAGCTGATAGAGGTAGTGTCAAGTTCCACGTGCTCAGTAACAAAGGGACCGATTTCCGATGACTTTACTTTAGAGGAAGAGGATGCTAAGGTTGCAGACATTAGTGACGAGGACATTTCGATCAACACAGAGCACATCAAAAGGGAAGATGAACCCAGTAGTTCCGGGATCTCCGGCGATAAGAACGACCAAGCCTGTCACAACAGCGGAAAAGTGAAGCAGGAGAATCCACAGGTTCTTCCCAGGTGTAACTGTGAAGAACTCAAGCGAGCCGATGCGTATCTGGAGACAAAGGACTTATGGGAAAAGTTCCACGAGTTAGGGACCGAGATGATTATCACCAAATCAGGGAGGTGGGTAACACTTTCTTTGTATAGGTTTGGTTTGTTTGTTTTTTAGTTTCGCGCAAAGCTACACGAGAGCTATCTGCGCTAGCTGTTCCTAATTCAGTGAAATACTAGAGCAAAGGCAGCTACTCATCACCACCCACCGCCAACTCTTGAGCTACTCTTTTACCAGTGAATAGTGGGATTGACCGTCACATTACAACGCCCCCACGGCTGAAGGGGCGAGCATGTTTGGTGAGACGGAGATTCGAACCCGCGACCCTAAGACTGCGAGTTGAGCTCCCTAACCACCTGGCCATGCCAGGCCTCTTTGTATAGGAAGCTATACTGTGGTGTATGTCCCCCATGAAGGCAACTACTAAACATCTGCACTGATGTTGCTCCCCTAGAGGCACAGCAGTAAATCTGAAGGCTAACATGAAAGCAACTACTAAACATTTGCACTGATGTTGCCCCCCCCAAAGGCACAGCAGTAAATCTGAAGGCTAACATGAAGGCAACTACTAAACATCTGCACTGATGTTGCCCCCCTAGAGGCACTGAAGTAAATCTAAAGGCTAACATGAAGGCTACTACTAAACATATGCACTGATGTTGCCCCCCCCTA